CTTGCATCGAAAACTTTGAACAAATGTTTTACTTATCTGTAAAACACAGCAAATATAAAATCGCAAACTTTGTTACACACAGTAACTATTAAATAGCATGTACAACTAAAGGATGTTAATAATATATGCTTAAAACTGTCATGATATACTCATATTGAAAATATGTAAGTAAAATTGTAATTTGTGTCAAATCATATAGAATATATATATATATATATAACATATAAAATATATACAAATCCCTCATAAGTCACGACATTCAAGAGTTTCTTTGATAGACAATTATTTTTTCGATTGTATTGTTTAGGTTCATTGTTCATTGTTATTCTAATGGTTCTCTTCAATATCCATATTGTAAAGAATTAAATTCTGTTCAATTAGTTGTTACTGAAATCAATTGATCATCATCTGAATTTGAAATTAAAAATATCTGCAAATATATACAAATGATGAAATATTGATAAATTCCATTTTAATATATATAGTAATGCATGATTTTTTTTTTTTTAAATACGTAGTATTAAAAAAAATGATCGTTCATTCAAGATTTATATTGCTTCTTTTATACCACAGTTTTACCACAACTAATTATATAATACCACAATAACAATTAATTAGTTTTGTGATGTAATTTTGTAATTAGATATAATTTTTTAGGGATAAAAAAATTCTTATATCCGACACACTTTCTTCGAGATATGTTGGTTAAATTTGTTCCTGCTTAATTGGCGGCGTGTAGCCAATGCTACTGTTGCGGTTCAACTAAATTACTCCCTCTATGATTGATCAGAATCTTTTATTAATAATTTGTTAACCAAATAGTAAACGAAGATTTTTGTAAAAAGAAGTCTTGCTTCGAATTAAATTAGGAATTTTTAGTTTTCAAATGTCCAAATATTTTTGGAACGCCTTGTATAAATATATAAGATAAAAATATATATAGTTATAGATATATCTTTACAAAATATAGCTTCATAGTTTAAAATTTATTTAAATAATACTTCTACTTCTTCAACAAATTTACGTTGAAGAATAAAATTGGTTATAAAATTGGCTAATAATATGAAATTAAATAATAAATATTGACAATTTTTATTGATTATTAAATAATTATATTAATAATTACATATTATATAATAATAATATAATTATTAAATAATTATAAATAATTATTAATAATAATGATTATATAAATTATTAGATATTAATAATTAATATATTTAACATTACTTTGGATATCTTTAAATTAAAATTGAAATAAGTAAGTATATATAATAAAATTAATATTTTAAACAATTTAATTGAATAAATAAATCTATATAATAATAATAAATGAATAATCATTATAATATTCATATAATTAGTATTAAATTAATACAATAAATAAAAAATAAGAAGCAATAATTCATAATTTTTTAACATTTAGGAAATATACACAATATTTAAATAAATATTATTTAAATTAAATGAATCAAATTTAATAATTAAATGATATTAATCTTTAGATTTATAAATTTTTTATATTTCAATATATATAATATTTATAATAAATATTATATCTATAAAAAATATTATTTAGATAAAAATTTTACATATAAATGTTTTTTAGTTACAATAATATTAAAATATTTTAGTATGAATTTCTATAATAAATAATTATATAATTAATAATCTAGCTAATGAACGAAACTTGTTATAATAATAGCAGATAATTATTTGCTAGATTTATTTATAATTTTGAAATAAATATCTTTTTTGACAGAACTAAATGAAACCGAAATTTGAAGAATAAGTTTCATTTTATTTCTCTTAAATCAAAGCATTATTTTTTCATATATGATATGGATTCATATTAATACTAAAAAATTTTAAAATACAAGAGTTCACATTTGAAATTTCAACATTTCGAAAAATCTATTTCTAAAATAAATATATATTTATTTTATCTTAATGTATATTTTTCATAGCTCTGTTTGATAGAATTTAATGACAATTGTACTTGCAATATTTACTTGCAACAATTATGTTCTTCGTTACGTATATTGTGTATAATTGAAAGTTTAACTTTAATTTGATTATGATCCTAATAAATGTATAATATTTATTTTATAAAAACTTTATTAATTTTAATAAGTAATAAACATTATATACATTATATAAGTAAAAAAAAAAAATATTATAATCAAATATTATAATCAAATATTATAATCTTCTGAATATCTTCCATATTTTTCTTTCTTTCTCAGACCGGATATTATGTGAGGGATTTAATCGATGCACATTGTAAATTGATGAATAGTACATATGCTATATATAATATATGTTGTATTTTCATATTCGCAGTGAGCATTAGATCACACCAATAGCGATAAGTAAGCGATAGTGATAAGATATTGGTAAGTAGTGTTTATTCAAATTTTGAGAAATGATATTTTCTGGTAATTCGTTCGATAAATAAAGAATAAATGATGTTAAAAAGTTGATTATAATTTTTTTAGAAGAATTTTTCGTTGGGTACGTTCGAAATCAATTATGAATTATTGTTAAAAATAGGAATAGAAAAGATTTTTGCAAAGATTGAGTGATGTTTTATTATATACTAATTATTCTTTATAATTATATAATAAACTATTTTGAGAGAAATTGACTTATATGTTAAAAATGAATTTTTGAAAAGGAGTTGAATGAGTTTCATATACAACACTTATGTGATGATAGTAATTTCATTTATATATATATATATATTTATATTATAATATTATTATATTTCTAAATATATATTATATTAAAATTTTGTATACGAATAGTATATGAAACATCAGATATTAATAAATCGATAATATTTTCAGTAACAATAAATATGTTAAAAATTTTCATGGTTACAACAACAATTATCTGAGAGTAAATTAGATATTTAATTATTTATTTTAATTGTGAAATCAGCACAAAAGAAGTACTTTTCTATTTTATGAAAAAGTGCTTCCAGTACATTAAATCTCAAAAATTTTTTTGGCTAATAAAAAACTTCGCTTATTTTATTTGTCATAATGTAATGACGTAATTTAAGCATCCGATAATTAAAGAAAGATGTGAGATCGAGAAGAAGAGAATTCAAGAAAATTCAAAAATTTTGAGAATTATTTTAATGATTTTCTGAAGTCGATTTTAGAAATAAATACATAAGAAATAATAAAAATTTTCTGTTCGTAGCAATTTTTACTAAAACTGAAACTCAAACGAAAACGAGATATACATTAAAATGGTTAATAAAATGTTAAGTACAAAGATTTTCAAATATTTCTTTGTAACGGTATTTTTTTTTTTAGAATGTGAGATATTTAATCAAAAACGTTTATACTGATGTCAAAAAGATAAAAATAATAAATAGAGAATATATTGTAGATTTAAAAATTAATTTTTTTTTGTATTCAAAATATTTTCAATGTTAAATTATTATTTTATTTTGTTTTAATTTTATTTTTCACTTTATTTTTATTAAAGAACTAAAGGATGCAATAATATTATGTGCAAATGTAATTAATGACTAATGCATTTATGACTAATTCTGAAATTCGTTTTACATAAATTTCTAAGTATATATGCTAAATAATGTGATCCTTTGTAAGCATATATAATGCATGTTATAAAATCTATATAATATCTATTATAAGTAATTATGATATCTATATAATGTATATTTTAATATCCTGAATATAACTAATTTTATTAGACAAGATTAGATAATTAATATATCATAAATTATTTTTTCATAATTAAAATATATATTTTTTTTTTTGAGAAATAATTTATGTAAATGACATAATATTTAATAATATCTGAGATGGAAATATTAATAATAAAATATTAAAATATTTTAAATTATTATCTCAATTTTTAAAATTTATACCTATCATACCTATATAATAAAAAAAATATTTAGTAATAATTTTATAGTTGTTGAAAATATTATCATTTGATCCCGATTATAAAGATTCCATTTTATATTTCAATGAAACAATAAGCAATAAGCAATTGTTACTTTTCACGAACATTTTCACACATATTATATACTACATATCGATATTTGTATATATTTGTTTGTAAGAACATTCCAAAGTAATACAAATCGATTTAAATATCTCATTTTCTAGTACTGATATTTGATCGTTTTCCCTCATAATTTTATCTCATTATGTGATTTGAACATATTAAAAATTTGAAATTACGGAAAATGCAATGTTTGCAGTTTATGAAATTTCAGATATATTGATTTAATTTTAACTAATTATGCATTTCATCTATGTGCAATTTATTGATTTCAATAATTTATTTGGTTTAAATAGTTTTATGAAATATTCGTTTAGATGAGCATTTGAATAATTTCTTATTTATAAATTTTAATTAAAAATCATTTATCAAATAGATTTTTAATGATAACATATATTTCATAATGAAGAAAATAATATTGTTAATATTCTTGTTAATCAGCATATAAAATTAGCATAAATTAGAATTTTAAATCTTGAATATTGAAAATTTGGAATTATAAAAATTATAAATATTTTAAATTTGAAAATATTAGGATTATCGAAATTTTAGGAAATGTAGAAAATTAACAATTTTGACTTATTTAATGTGGATTTGATTTTGAAGTTAAATGAAATTAATTTTATTAAAATTGAAATACAACTATAATTTTTTTTATATATATGTATATATGTATATATACATTTACAAATATTTTTCACATGTTTTGTTTTATTAATTGTCTGTGTTCTGTGTCTTGTTCTGTTAATCTTTGAAACATTATTCTATTTTACGGTTCATCTTTTTACTCATTTAAATCATTTAAATCATATCAATTCTCAATTTTTCGATCATCAAATACATAACAATATTTTTTACATTTCTCTACATTATAAAATCATCTTTCATTAAATTAAAATTATCGATTTATAAAAAGATATTAAATTTTAAAAAATATTTTCGTTTTAGATTTTTTAAAATAGCATCTTTGAACATTATGGAGATATCTCAAGAAATAGTTCAAGAGAAATTAAGTCGAAGAGAAATGACACAGAATCAGAATAGTTTTAATGTGAAATCAAATTACAAATACAATATTGTTTGGAAGAACGTAATTTCATTAACGTATTTGCACTTCGGAGGTCTGTATGCACTGTTCCTGTTGTTTCGTGATAATGAAGTTAACAGATATACAATTATATGGTGTAAGTACAAACATTTTAATTTATTTTATGTTAATTACTGAATAATATTTCATAATTGTTGACACCGTAAGCTTGGGTTACGATCTTCGAATATTGCACAATAGTGCCTTACTTGTATTGTTGCTCAAAGGACCACCTACCACTGTAGGAATTTTATACTGGATTATCTTATGAGCTCTAAGTGGTGATAGCTTAACTCTTTGAGCTCTGTGATTCTAACTGTGCTTCGATTAACTGTATCGTCGCCGAGATCTATCTGTCTGTCTTCTCTATGACGACTCTCGACTCCACAGGGTCGTTTCTAAGGCTCTAACTCGTCTAGTGGCTTCTCTGCCAGTTTCAAATTCGACTACTCTGTTCTCTTCGAAGGTTCAATTCGACTACGCTTATCGCGATTCTTGGTTCTCCTTTTTATCCTTGCATTTCGTAGAAATGCACATAAAGAAGGATTAGAGGAACCAATCATCGCGTCGAAGGGCGGTTTCAAGAGATGGGCCTTCGCGGAGTCGCGCCGTAGCATGCTGGACCTTTACTTTCACCTTTATGGTGGTCCATCATATGACGCGCAAATGCCGCTTGTAAAATGATCGTTGCTATGGCTTCTGTTCAAACTAACATCTGGAAACCATTACGAAACACATACTTGCTCATAAATTACTGTAAAACTATTTGGCAGGGATTCGAATTATAGATGGCGAAACACGACCCAACCATTTCACGAGCTCGGGCCTTAACAATAATAATTTTAGAAAATTAAAAATAATCAATAATATGATTAATTAACAGATTTAATTTTAAAGATTTAAAAAAAAATTTATTTCTATTCTATTTTCTTCTAAATTAATAAATCAATAACAAATAGATTATAAGAAAAATGAAAAATTTCCAGTGTGCAAAATTTACTTCAAATAATGGTATTATTTATCATAAAATAATTAATATCTCTAGAATTATTTAAAAATTTTGAAAAATTTCAGAATACAATTAATAAAATATAATTATAATATCCAAAATATAATTAAAAACATTCAATAATTTGTTTATTAAATAATTATGATAATTTTGAGTCTAAAAAAATTATTTTGCAAAAGAAAATAATAATTGGTAAATTTTTAGGAAAATATACCTATTAAAATTAATAATACTTATTAAAAATCGAAAAAAAAATTTGAAAAAAAGTTTTAAATATTAACAAATCCTATATATTATCTTCATTTCGTCTACATACTTCAATTATGATTCCAATCATATTTAACACAAAAAAGCTATAATATTCGCATAAACAGTTACTTTGCTAATTCATTAAAATTAATGTTGCATCAATCATGTGTTAATTGATTATAAGAGTGAACATTTTTTTCGACAAAATAAAATCTTTTTTTTTTCGCTCGGTTATTTTGTCTACATATCATAATGTAATAAGAAATTATAAAAGGATAAAAAAATTAAATCATAAAGAATTAGAAAGAAGAATTCTAAATACTGTCATTAAATCATATATTATCAAATACTGATTTCAAAAAATACATCCACCATTGATTGTCGCGTATTCTATTTTTGAGAAACGCGCTGAACATAAAAAATAGGAAATTGTTCAAAAAAATGTTCATTTGCCATCTCATTTTTTTGTTATTAGAAATAGATAAAAAGATATTTGAAAGTGGTATAAACAATACACAAGTAATTTCACAAAAACGAAATTATTAAATGAAATTGTTTTATTAACTGTTTTGTCAGAAAATTTTGATCGATATTTCATTCTAAATTTCTAAAACATTTATAAAAACTATGAAATTTTCTAACGAAAATTCTCTTAGTAGAATATTATTGGATAATTTTAGAATGTAATTAATTACCAATATTATTTTTAAGGATCTTAGTTAGAGAATAGTTATATCTTATATATGTTATATAAATTAAAGTAAAGAAGTGTATAGTAATAAAATTTAAAATAAATAATATCATAAATCAAATAATATTTATTGACTGAATAATAATTAGAATGTAATTGAATTAATATTATTTAAAGAATAAATTATTTTCTTTTAATAAAGAATAAGTATATATATGTTACATATGTATTAATTTCAGTTTTTTATATCAATATAAATCAAAGTGAAGAAGTGTTATGTAATAATATGTATGTAATAAAATTAAATAAAATATTACAAATCAACTGATTTGATATTTTCAGTTCCTGTTGTGGGAATTCTTAGTTCGATGGGTGTCACAGCTGGAGCCCACAGATTATGGTGTCATAGATCTTACAAAGCAAAGTGGCCCCTTCGTCTTTATCTAATGATTTCTCAAACTCTTTCTATGCAGGTCAATTTCAACTTCTTTCACTGTCTTTTCTTAGAATTAATTATTATATAATTTTTTCTAACCTAATTATTATATAATTTTTTTAATTTGTAACAACGTTACAAATTCTAATATTTCAAGCTTCGATTTTGATCCGCAGAATCATATTTACGAATGGGTGAGAGATCACAGAGTACATCACAAATTCACAGATACCGATGCGGATCCGCATAACGCGCGTCGAGGATTCTTTTTTTCCCATGTAGGTTGGCTGATGGTGCGAAAGCATCCAGATGTAATTAAAAAAGGTGCTACTGTTGATATGAGCGATCTGGAAAAGGATCCCATTGTCGTTTTTCAAAGAAGGTGAAACATAATTTTGTTTTTAGCCCAATATTTTAATATATTTCCTGAATAATTTAATTGTTTTTTAATTGACATCGAATATGATTCAATGGAAAACTTTGCCTATTTAAATTAAAAAATTACTTATAAAATTGGCTAAGATTTAAGTGAAGAAAATTTGAATAAGGAAATTATAATATTCAATGTTTGTTTGCAATAAAAAAGAAATCTAATTCTTATGTAAATAAGTTTCTTTAAAATTTTAACTTAAATAGTAATAGAATAGAAATTGAAATAGTACATATATTTATATTTTTCTTTGACGAAATCATAAATAACAAATATGATTTAAATTAATTTATATTTACAATATTATTCAATGTACATTATTTAAAATAAGTAAAAATATAAATTTACTTGATATAAATTTAATGAATTAATATTCTTACTTTGATAATAACTAATATTGATACAATTATAAAAAATTATAAGAAAAATCATTACAAAAAAATTAAATTAAGAAAAAAATTTGAAAATTTTTTTTTTGTAATAATTTATGATTAGAGATTCATTTCAGACAAACCTTTTAAAATTTATTTAAATTTATTAATATTAAAATTTATTATTATTAAAAACCCATTATAATTCCTGTAATTAAACCGAACAGAAGTTCTTTAGAATGTTAAGAAGTGTTTAGATGTATATCTTCAATATTTTAATGAATGATTTTTAGGTGGTATTATATCTTAGTTCTGCTCGTATGCTTCGTGATTCCGGTGGGAGTACCCTATTACTTCTGGAATGAACAATTCATACTTTGCTGGAACGGAAATTTAACAAGATATATATATACTTTGAACGTAACATGGTTGGTAAACTCCGCTGCTCATATATGGGGCATGAAACCATATGACGTGTAAGAAATAATATTTATATATTGGTATTTCCTTAAAAGCAAAGTAATAACAATTATATTGCAAAATTCATTTTTAGTTCGATTGATTTCTTCAAAATTGTAATTGAATATTACATTTTTATTAATATAAAATTGATAAAATTTCGATTTCTTTCATATATTCTTTAAAAATTATAAATGTTACATTAAATTATATCTTATATAAAATGGCATTTATTTTTCACTATCTTCATCTGTCAAAAATTGTAATAAAAAATTTGTTAATTATTTTACAATCTTTAATTATAAATATAAATAACTTATCTTTTTTCAATTTTATTTTATTTTATATTATTTTATAATATATTGCATTGAAAAACTGATTGAAATTGAAGATTTATTAGTTTTTAGTTTGAAATATTTATTACTTTCATATATATATAAAAATTCATTTGAATAAAAAGTAAAATTTCATGAATTTCATGTAAAAGGAATATTCTAGCATCCGAAAATGTATTAGTATCCATCTTTGCTCTTGGTGAAGGATGGCACAATTATCACCATGTATTCCCATGGGACTATAAAACCGCTGAACTTGGTGGCTATAAAACCAACTTTACCACTGCGTTCATCGATTTATGCGCTTTTTTGGGACAAGCGTACGATTTAAAAACTATTCCCGATGAAATAATTGCAAAACGAAAACTCAGAACTGGAAGTGGATCAAGGTATCTATATTATCATTATTAATATATTTTAAATTATAACAGTCAATAATTAAAGACCTAGTTATTAACTGTTTAGTTGTTATTAATCATTTAAATAATAGATAGTTCATTATTTTTTCCAATATGGTTTAATCAAAGAAATGTAGTATTTTTCAACATTTGAAAGAGGTCTTCGATTTAATCAAAAAAACTAATAATAAATTTCTAATAATAAAAACTATGTATAGAATATAACCACTGGAACAATGATTAAAAAGAATATAAAAAATAAATATTTTGAATATCAAAAATCGAAAGTTAAAAAAAAAATTCTTCTATCAGAATTGATCAAATAAATTACTTTCATTATCAATGGTCGTAGAATAATTTTATCGTCATTATATATATAATTTTTAAATCTGAAATTTTAATTTGTAGGTGCAATAAAAACGAAATCATTCATCATCATGATGATATGAAGTGGGGCTGGTATGATAAGGATATAAAACCTCACGAAATCGAAGAAACGAAAATTTTTTATAAAAAAGATTAATGGATTTTTTATGTTTAAAGCAATTAATATCATTAAAAGTTTCTAATTATCATTATCTATATGAAGGAAAAATTATCCAAATTATCCTATAAATATAATTCAATACGTATTATTTTCATTTCTGAGTTTTATTATCGCTACTTTTATTAATTTTTTCAGTCATATCATTGATTATGACTTCCTATTATAAATATTGCTTTTGAAATACAAACATTTTAAATAAAAAACTATTATATTTACATAATATATATTTTTAATGGTACTGCATACCTTAATCAATACGTTTTCATGACATAAATTTTTTCATATACACATATTTTTGGTAACGATTTATTTTTAAGATGATTGAAAATTGTGTATTGTATTTTTGGAGAATCAATAAATTTGTTTTAAAAAAATTACAAATAAATATATATAAAACAATGACATTCTTAATAGACCAATATATAACAAAAATAATATAATTTTACAAATAGTTGAAACAAGATTTCTTGAGAAATAATATTTATTATATAATCAAAGATTGATGCAGTTCCTAATTTAGACAGTAATAGTTTCAATTTTTAAAATTTTTATGACAAACGTTATATTTATAAATAATCATGAATAATGTAAAATATATATGTATAAGAAAGAAAAAATATAATTGATTATATTATGTGATAGAATTAATAATTATTGATTCATTTTAAAGCAAAATAATCTGGATTAGAACTCATTAAGGATTACTTATAGTATTCGTTTGCTAAATATTTGCTAAAAATTATAGAATTTTCATATTTGAATTTAGAAATACAATTTCTAATTGTTTTTTTGAAGACATCAGCAAGGAAATGCAAGATTATTCAAGAAGCAATAAGATTAAAACAATAAATGATCGCAAATAATTCTGACATAAATTCAATAGAAATTTATGGACATGAAAAGTTATTCTGTTAATTAATATGAAAAAATTTGATTATAAAAATAAAGTCCATAAAAAATTAAAATATATGAAATTTGTATAATGAGATTATAATAAAAATTCGATGTAATCAAGTATAAAAACGATTCTACATGTGAAAATGTAACTATTAGTACATTAACTATTAATGTAAATATTCAAAATATGAAAATTTAATTAATATAAATGTTACATAATAAATTTTAAGTAAATTAACGTCCATTTCTTTCTTATATTAATTGCAAATTTATATATAACTTATAAATAATTTATATAATCAAATACTTCTTTTCAAAGTTTCTGTTGGCTAAATATTTTTATTCAGCAACATTCTTTTTAATACAATATAAAAATAATTCTAATAATTTTTTTGTATGTTTATTTTATATTAGCAAATTTATTTTACATATTTTACAAATTTTTTTTATTTACTATCGTATCGTGCTTTAAAAATTTTTTTCTGTTTTTTGTGGATCTTATACCGCATATAATTGCAAATTTATTAAAGCCAATACGATATTTTATTTCAGTTTCGCAGTTTATGTAAAATTTATTTTCTGTAAAATATGTTTAAGATATTTAAAAAGATATAAATATTCTTAATAATTATATTGTTTATGCAATTGCATTGTTTACTTATGCGAGATAACAATATCGTAGCAACATAAAATTAAAATCTATACAAAGTGTGATTGTTATGGTACAGACAAGATAGATTAATAACTTTGAGGTCAATATTATCATTTTATTGTTCTTTAGATATTAACAGTTCAGAATAAGAAAACAGATTATTTTTTAAACGTAAACAAGATACAAATTTTTCAGATATTTCGAAAATCTATCATATCCAATTGAAATAATATTTTGTGAATAGTCTTCGTTTAAACAAAAACGAAAAAATATTTGTAAGAACACAGAAATGAAACGAAAGCAAAAGCCCAAAAATTTTGCGAATTCAACTATTATAATATCTCTGTTTTATTGAAATAATATTTTAAGAATTCACATTATTTTTTTAACATGAAACATTATCGTTTCAGTATAGAAAATGATTATGTTATTAATAATGGTTAAAAACTGACATTACTATAAAAACCATAAATAAGGAATAAACCAAAATGGGTTATGTTTCTGAATATTGCATGCGAGATTTATGACAGTTTATTCAAAAAAGAAATTTCTGGAAATCTTTTTCTATCATTATCGGTCATTTTCATTAAGCCTAATCAAAGAATTACTTGAAAAGATTACCGTTTTTGAGAAGAGTTTAATCGATTTTTATAATTGTATATTTTTCAATTTGGCTGAACCGGATTTCGATTCTAAGAATAACATACCCCAAACACAGTTGATTCAACGACAACCAACATTGTTCTAGTACGACTTAAGAAATTTATAATCATTGTAATAATTTATAATAAAACGCTGATTATCAATAATATCTTAATATTTCAATATCTTTAATATCTTATAAACTGATTGACAGCATCACCAGCACAACTTAAGAATTTTTCTCTAAACTTGATGATATCGTGAGTCAAGAATTGACCGCGATAATTTTGGTTACTCTCACGTTTTACTGGAAAATCTCCCAATTGAATTGAGAAGGGATTTTTTGAGGGCATGAAGAGTCTCTATTTTATGAATAGTCTTAGATTAAAAATAAAATTAAAAATTAAAGTTTTGGTAGATCTTCGATATTTCTAAGATCAAAATTTTCAAAGCTTGTTGGACGATCAGGAACGACGATCACGACATACCAAGATTTTCAAGATTGTATTAAAATTACCTATCGGATTCAGAAAAAAATCATATATATTTGCTTTATAAACTAAACTTAAATTTTTTAATTAATTTAATCAATTTCGCATTTTTAATTCAATGCTTAACAATCAAATTTGTTTTTTTCGCATCAAATATAGATTTTTTATTCAATATTTCAAGACTATCTTTAAAATTAATTTTCTGTGTACTCATTTCATGCAACATATTTCTGATATCTTCGGTGTCAGTTGTTAATAGCGAATTGACCAAATTGAGTTCGTGCCACATATTGATAAAGAATGTAGTGCAATCATCATTATAACTACCGAATTCACCACATTTCCAGTCCCATGGTATAGTATAATGATATTTTGGCCAAAATGATTTCTTCAAAAAGAAAATGCTCATAGTATTTGATGGAAACCTGGAATCATAACGAGATTATAGAATTGCAAAATTTCAGTTAATGCTTGCTTTGAATAAGTATAATATATGAAATTATATAAATATTTTTTACATAAATTTTTTTATCCTATTAATTTTTATCGTAATATTGATAATTTTTGTTAACAAACAAAATATTACATATTTATTTGTTTTACACCTTTTCAATGTCATTTCAATGATTAGTTGAATGCTAAAAAAATTTTTTTTGTTAAATTTTAATAATTTAACATGTTAATAAATAAAAT